TTTTTAATTCAATTATTTTTTAATAACATTAACATCTCCTGTTAAATTATCTATTTTTAATACTTGTTTCTTATCCATTCCTAAATAAAGATAATATGCTACTGTTCCACTTGAATTTCCTGCTGTTTGTCGAAAAATATAACTAAAATTCTCACTAGAATATCCTTTAAAAATAATAACTGTTGCTACTTGTGTTTTAAATGATGCATTTAAACTTTTCCATATATGCATATTCACAATAATTGTTGTTTTCAAATGTCTTAATCTTGTAATAATTTCTCCCCATGTTTTATCCGCTTTCATCATTTCAAATGTTGCATCTTCTAATATAATTAATAAATGTTTCTCTCGTGCTTGTTTATAATATTGCACTAATGCTGGCATAAATTTCTCATAATTCATTCCATATATTGGTGTTTTAATTAAATCTTTTAATTGTTTAAATGTTTCATCTTCTCCTGCATTTTGTGCTACATAAATAATAGCTCCATATAAATGTTCTATATGATTCATTTTTATTAATTCTTTCAGTATAAATGTTGTTTTTCCTGTTCCTTGTTTCCCTAATACTATATTCAAACTATTATAATAAAAGAAGATTTGATGATGTACTTTTTGTATTTTATTCCCTTCTTTAATTTCTGATAATTTATCTTCTATCATTTCTTCTATTCTATCTATTCCAATCTCATCATCTTCTTCTTCATCTTCTATACTATTTATATCTTGTGGATTTGTTTCAAAATATTCCATTCTAAAAATAATTAGTTCAAAAAAGTATTTAAATTAGATTATTTCTATTCCCATTGAATAGCAGAAAGAAGATTAACTCTTTCTTTTAAAACTCCATTTCTAATCTCTTCATTCATTCGATTCTCATTAATTAATAACATTCGATTTCTTTCTAATTCTTTTCTTAATCTCTCATTTTCTTCAAGTATGTCAATCATTAATTCAATTGCATTATCATTCATTTGTCTTTTAATAAAATGTGTAATCTTTTCTTTATTATTCATTTTATTCTTCTTTGGGTTTATTTCTTCATTTATTGGTTCTGGTGTTGTTGGACATGGTGGAAGCTCTGGTGCTCCTGTAAAGGAACACATTTGTGTGCTGTTGTTATCACTAGCAATTGACATCGTTTGTTTATCATTAAGATATTTAAGTTGTATTTATATCATCATTTCATTCTTCATTTGTGTTTCATTTCTTATTTATATCCTATTTTTCATTCATATTTCATTCATATTTCTATATTTTATTACTTTATTTCTATATTTCTTCATTCCTCAATTATTCTTTGCGTCATATTTATGATTTATTCATTCATCAGGGGTAATAAATAAATTAAAAACTCAATTTATTCGACTATTTATTCATTATGAATCTCATTATTTTCATTCATTCATGTCTTCCGTAAGAGATTTATTAATGGCGGCTGCTTGTATTGATCTTGATCCTGCAAATCTTCAAGTCGCCTCTTCTCTTTTATCTCAACTTGTTCTTCTTCTTCCATCAATCACAAATGAGAATGAAAAGAGAATACTAAAAAGCGTCTATTGGAAACTTGTATGGCAAATTAATGCTCTTACTGGATGGGGTAAAACCATTAATTGATTCTATTCTTTTATTATTCTTTATGTTTATTTTTCATTCAATATTTAATCAAAACTTAAATAAAATAAAAGAGATAAAAATCATTTTAATTATTATTTTTATCATTAAGAAAAAAGAAAATTAAATAAATTAAGAAAAAGAATTAAATTAGAGAGAATTAAATCTCTCCATTTTGCTTGCGATATACTTCAAGGAGTATATCCCAAGCTCCGGCAAGGCCATCCCGGGCCCAAAAATCATCAAGGTAGGGGAGGACCAGCTTAAAATCAGCTGGAGTTAAATTAAAAACCCCCTCCCTTTTAATGCGGGTTATTATGCCGATTGCAAACCCGCATTCATGCATTAAAACTGTGATCCAATTCGCTGGATCATTCGCGTGTCGGTATAAATTATAATAATAAATTAATTCTTCAATCGCAAACTCGTTTGAATATCTATTAATTATAATATCAAATAATATACGTGTGTTCTCGTCAATGTAATTTATTAATAATTTATATTTATCGTTTGTGCTGTCATTAATATTATCATTAATAATATCGAGAATGTTATTCATTTATGTGTAGTTAATGAATCAAACGAAAAATGGCGTTGTTTAAATATTCAAATTAATCAGAACATAGGGTTTTGATTGATAGAACATATGCTGTTTATCATGTTATTTGTCAGAACATAAACATGACATTAGTCAGAATATACCAATAAAAATCATTTATTTTTTTAATACAGAATTACATAAAATGTATTATTTTTTATATTCTTTTATTTTTTATTTTTTAAAAAATAAAATAATAAAATGCAAAAAGTGGAATAATTTATAAAAACTGTAAGAGTGATAAAATATCTTTTTATTACTTCAAAAATATTTATAATAAGGAAATTATGAAAATAACGAAGATATAAT